AGTTTGACTAGCCCTAAAAACTACTAAGGCACATAGCAAAGAGAGAAAAAAGGAGAAAATATTTTTCTCTAAAAATCCTAGCACACCATACTCTTTCCTTCTCTTTTAAGGTTTTCACAAATTGATCGGAATAGATTTCTATAGAAAATATTACATAAATAAAAAAGGTGGAACTATCATCATATCAATTTTGACTGCTTCTTTATGGGTACTTAGATTACATGGATCATTAATAGAGGTCAAACACTTGGATGACTTTTTCGATAAAAGAATTTAGATTCATGCTACAAGAGGTAATTCTTTATTCATTGCTTTAAATTCATGCATGTATGGTTAATAGATTCATTGGCTTGATCTTGGGCCCTTAGATGGAGGAAGATTTTTATTTATTTTACACATTTATAGGATGTATGATCCTTCAACCATGATGACTTCAAGTCTAAGACTAGTTGTACCCATCTCGTATGAGATTCCTATAGACTAAAGCAAATGAGTTCTCAAGGCGAGTTAAGTCCAATGATATGTTCTCTAACATAAATCACCTAAATGCTTGCTTTGGCATCATTATGTCAATAGGTGTGAGATCTTCTACTCGTTATAATATAGTGTGAGCATAACACTCACAAGTCTAACCGTATATAGTCAATGTTCATTCTTAACAATGCTATAACTTAAGACATTTAATGATATCATTTATGTACATTAGTGGTTGTGTCACATCTTTCAATCAATCACTAATGCAAATGGAGAACATATGGATTTCTATCTAACTCTATTCAATAAATAAATATAAACCATAAGAATTAATAGAAATATTTTTTTATTGTTAATAAAATAAATAAGGCAATAATACAATAGCTCAAATATATCCAAACATGGTTGGGTCTTGGGCACCTACACTAACAATATCCTACTTGCATTAGAGCCAACCAATTATATCCCTTAATCCCATCAAACAAGTAAGAGTTTCATGTTTTAGCTATAACAAAATTTTAGTCAAATGGTTAGCTACGTTGTCATTATAGTGGATCTTTTCTATGCTTATGTTGCCATGATTGATAATATCTCTAATCGGATGGTAATTTTACAATACATGCTTAGACTATTGATGAGACCTTAGCTCCTTAGCTTATGCTATAGCTTCATTGTTATTACAGTACAATCCTATTAGATCAACAACACTAGGAACCACTTTAGTTAGCTATCATGCTATGTTATATTGGAAGAAATCATTTCTTTGAATCTTTCCATGCTAAACCTTTTAGTATCATATCAATGTATCTTTCTTGAAAGACCCCTCACATTATCTCGATTCTTAGAATGTAGGCTCCCACTAACATTTTATGTGCACAAGTTTTATATTTTTTTTGTGAAAAAGTCAAACTCTTTGATTATTTCACCAAAACATCGACTTTAATTCCTAGAGGCATGCTCAAGTCCATAATGGACCTTTTCATTTTACAAATCTTATTTGCATGTTCTTTAGAACCATCATGGTGTGTCATCTACACATCATTTTCCTTTGCCTTTACTAGGAGTCAATTATAACATTGTTATTTCATAAGTCTTAGCTTGGTCATCCCTTTTAGTGTATATATCATCATGTGCTGAGACAAGAAGATCATATCCTTTTATCCATCCATGAATTCATTTAAGACTTATAAAGTTCTTGTATATATGTTTGTGGGATAGTTACAATGCTTTGTAACTTTTCAACTTAGGGTTTCATTAATAAAGTGTTAATTTATGAGTCTACTTGACTCTCATTAAGTTCTAATTTTCTTCCACTCGTTTCTAGCATCCATAAATTCCTTCCAATGAACATAGCATGCTTAATCACTAACAACACTTTATTTTAGTGGTAGAAAAATAATATCCATTTGTTTCTTTTGGATATCTCACATATTTGCAATTCATTGATTTGGGTTTTAGCTTTTCTTTGTCAAACAATTTGACATACCTTTATAGCCTTAAATCATTAAGGAAAGATAAATTTATTTTCTTTCTTTTTCATATCTATCAAATAGACTTAATTGGAACCCTATTCAAAATAAAGGTTGCAAGAAGGAGTGTTTATCCTAAAATGAGGTGGGAATATAAATCTAGACTCATTATGGATCGGACCATCTCTAGCATATGGTGTCTATTGATAGAGATCTCAATCTCTTTTAGATGATCTAAAATTTATTTCTTGAGTATTCATCACCTCGATCTCATCAAAATGCCTTAATACTTTTGCTAGTTTGTTTCTTGACTTTAAATCTAAATTCTTTAAATTTTTCAAACTCTTCAAATTTATGTCTTATTTACATAACAAAAACTTGATCTACTATTAGTAAAGATTATAAAATAATCATATCCACCTCTTACATAGATGAATATGGGCCTAAATACATCTCTATGTGTAAGGCCAAACTATTTAGTAGTAATTTCTCATTTTCTACTAAAAGGGGATTCATGTCTATTCGTCAAGTAAATAAGATTCATAGACATCATCAAATGATTCTATTCATCCATTAGTTATTAGATTCTTTATTTACATGACCAAGTCGACAATGCCATAATTATGTATTTATTTAGATCATTTGAGTCTTTCAGTATTTATGTTACATACATAAGAGTTATGTTCAAAATATATAATTATTATCAATCAAGGCATTTTCATATAAAATCTCATCTTTAAAAATAACCATTATTCTTAAAATCAAAATAATATCCATAATCTATGCTAAGAAATATAATAATAGATATTGAGTTTTAGCACAAGCCTACATGGTAGTGCTAACTCATAAGTATCTGCATTTAATTTCCAACTCTTGATCAATTGCTCGTTATGTAGGCCACGCTCCCAAGTAGTTATCTTTTTTTCTTTTTGAAGCTTTTGCACATTTTAAAAATGTGAGTACCACATCTAGTATCATATACCCATGGTGTGGGATTAGAAATAAAAAAATTAGGTTAAATAACATAAATACTTGAGGAAATGGTAGAACTCTTCTTCTTCACCTCTTCTATGCACTCTTTATAGCCGTGCTTTCAATGCTCTTTCTTATTGCAATAAAAGCGAGACCGTATCCTTTGGGTTATTTTGAACCTCAAACTTTTTCACCCTTCTAGTAGATGGAATAGAAGACTTCTCACTCTTTTGGTTTTTAGGCTTTTTCTTACCCTTTATCATGTCTCTTCCCTTATTAATAAGAGGTACAAAACTCTTTTTTTTTGTTAATTATAGGTTAAGCTTCATTTTATATGGATAACAACTCTTTAAGAGTCTTTTTTATGTGCATCATGTTAAAGTTCATGATGGACTATCCAAAACTATTGGACAACGATTGCAATACTAGGTTAATGGATAATTCAACATCCATTCTAACCTTAAGCTCAGCCAGACCTATCCATATACCCTATCATCCCAGCGTCATGCTTTTCAACACTAGATCCCTTATCCATTTTAGCTCTAAGGAGCTTTCATGCTATCTCATAATATCTTGTCTAGTATTCTCCTCAACAAGCTTTTAAGCTTTGTTATGCTATCAAAGGCCTTTGTTCCTTTGTGTTGGCACTTATGCTCCAAACTCATAGTAGCCAATATGATACTTTAAGAGACGATAACATCATCCCTATATTTGATCCATACTGTATGAGCTTTAACTTAATCTTGAGGAGGCTTAGCTAGGAGAGATGTCTATATCATATAGAGAATTTTTTCATGTTGAAAGACTATCCTCAAATTCATTTCTCAATCAAGGAAGTTCATACCATTGAAGGTATTATTTTCATCAATGATTGATTGTATCAATGTGTTGTCAATTATACTCGTGTAATCCGATAAGATGAAAAAATATACAATTTGATTAATTAAATTACATAAAATAAAATAAAGCATCAAGTAAAGAAGTAAAATCTATGTTTGCTCTCACTATTTTTTTCACATTCTATAACCTTCAATATAAGACTCGAGAAAACTTTTTGATTCATTTTCCTTAGTGGATTAGGATCCCATCCTCTAACATGCATTAACATTGAGTTATCTTAATAAGTCATACATGAAGGATTAGATAGGTAACTTTTTACCAATTACATCTAATGTAATTTTTAATTTCATCGACATGATAACTCCTTGTCATATCATATCTTATGTGAATACCAATATTTACCTATAAGTTTACTAGACCTTGAGTTATCTCAACAAACTCAACAACTCATTTTAAGTTAGACCCAATATTCGAAGACATCACATAGCTCATGATTTGTTTCTCTCGAGGAAGAAGTAACCTTAAGTTATCTCAACAAATAAAATAACGACCAAGAGAGTTTCCTCTTCATAACCTTAGAAGGCAATTAACTTGATATTTTATTTGAAGGATTTAATTTAATAGGTCTCATCCTAGCATACATACTAGTCAATAATCATATTACTCCTATCATGCATACCGATATTCATTTGCATAATATTAACATAAACATCTCATGCATGACTCAAGGATCAATAAATAGTAATAGATCTCTAATACTAGTCTCCTCGATCCATAAGGAAACTAGTGGATAAAATACCTAGGTGAGAAATTATTATAAATTCTTTGAAAATATTTTAATTTCTTGGCTTATTCTCCTTACATCTATTCTAATTCCTATCTTCTACTTTTGCATTTATTTGAATAAAAAACCTTGAGTTACATTCTAGGAGAGTAAGATGAGAAGAGAAATACAATAGAGTAATAGAGAAGAGAGGACACGCAAGCCCTATTTATCCCAAAAATTCCAAACATTTATTCCTATAAACTAGGTTAACTCATCCATATCATTCATCTATGCTTCAATCACATTGATACATGGTATACTAATGAAACACATTTCATTCAAATTGCAATTACAAATCTATTGTTTTGGTCATTTTATAAATTTATCAAATTTTTCTAAATTTTAATTTCAAGACTTTTCGGACCTTAGGCTCACTTTGGGCACATGGGCTTTTGGACCTCAAGGGTCTAGTTTTTTTCCTAAGCCTTCAACTTGGTGTACTTAAGAGCACCTAGCATGCTCATGCACCTAGTATTGCTCCCTAATGCACGCACGTGCCTAGGATACTCGTAGGCCTTGAAAAGCACATGCCTAGGGTGCACTCGATATGCATTAGGCACATCGTGGCCTAGCCTTAGCCTTGGTGTGTGCCCAAGCATGCTTGCCATGTCGTGTTTCTAACCTACCCAATAAACTTGGCATGTAGTACACCTTGTGTGTGACTACCTTTTGTCAAAAGGCCTTACGTTTGGGAGGCACGCCGGACCTATTGCGTGCTTAGCGTGTAATTGCCTAGTAAGGCTTTAGCCTATCACATGCCTAGCACACGACCGCTTAGCCAACCGACTTAACCTATTATACACCTAGCATATGACTGATCTACCGGGAAAGTTGGTGTGCACTAGGAATGCTTGGCCTATCATGCGCCTTGTGCATGACCGACCAACCTTCTTTGTTTATGCACGAACATCAACATCCAACGCCGGCCTTACACACCCCCACTCGATTTAAGCCACATCATAGTTTTAAACATATATAAAATACCAAAAATATAAGATTTATAATTAAAATAGATAATTCATTTAGTTAATCAAAAAAACATACAATCAAAGATTCAATAGAGGCTCGATATCAATTGAAGGATTATACATCCTATGAAAGTATGAAATAAAATAAAACTTTTCCTCCATCTAAAGTGGTCTAAGATTATGTCATTGCATCAACTGACCATATATTCATGAATTAAAGCATTAAATAAAGAATTATCTCCTTTAATATAGATTTAAACCTTTGCAAAAAGGAGTCGTCTAAGTGTCCAACCTCTATTGATAATCCAAGCGAGTCTAAGCACCCACACAAGTAGCACTTAAAATTGGTAGAGTGCTAGCTCCATCTTTTCTAACTTTGTTTAATGTTTTATTTTATAAATAAATTCAAGAATTTTTGTGACAACCCTAAGAGAGAGAGAGAGAAGAAAGTGACGTGTGTTAGAGCGAAGGAGAAAACTATTTTCTCTTTTTATTTTTATAGCAAGCCATGTAGCTTTTTTTTATACCATTTTTTCTCTTCTCTCTTATTTACATTTTCTATACCTCTCTCCTATATATATATGGGAGAGACTTCCTTGTCTTCTAAGGACAACGAAGGTGGGAATGAGTCCCTAAAGGACTCTAAGTTGTTGCTTCCTTAGGAGTTATTATGCATATAAGCTTTTTTGATCTTAGACTTTAAAACTTTCATCCTTATCTAATAAGGTTTATATTTATCCTCTCACCTAAATATCTTTCAAGCTTTTAATTAAACAAATTAGCCTAAACTACTTTGGCCCAATTATTTAATTTGAACTTTCTAAATAAATTAGGTTATATAATTTCTAGAGGTTCATATTAGTAAATAATTTTCCAAATTACTCTTAAACCTAAATTAGAAAGCTAATTTTCTTTTAGGTTATTTATTTCTAAATTTGGAACTGACTTCCAAATTAGAAAACTGATTTCTAAAGTAGGAAAGTTTTTATTTTAGGAAAATTTTTATTTTCGAAAACTTTTCATTTTTGAAAACCTTTTCTAAAATAGGAAACTTTCAAAATTGAAAACCTTGTCCAACATCTTTACTTTTCTTTTATTATGTAAATGCTTGAACTTATGCGTGTGACTCAAAAGGCTCCTAGATATGTTAACAATATATCAAGAATAAAAGACACATCTTTTATATCTTGATACATAAATCAAGATTGGCCTCGACAAGGCAACATGAAAGGATTAATTAATCCATAATTACCTTTCATGAGCATGGTTAGCATACAATTCTACCCTTATGTCAACTTATCACAATGTGATCTCAAACTTGTTTATTAGTCTTGTTTGATTATGATCACACAAGTTTTCTTCGATTCTCATATGTTTTAGCTCTTAGAGTAAACCAATTATGCTCTATGTACTTTTACCGTGGTCATAGATTTCTTGAGCATATATTCATCAAAGTATAATGTGATAACTCCTTTAGCATACAAGGAATGATATGTCCTTTCTTAGTTACCCATTTACCTTTATTAAATTTCTAGTGCACATAATAAATCATCCACGAGCAACCCTTTATTAGATTCATGAAAACAAGTTTCAAAGTACATAAATCCTCGAATGAGATAGCCATGATGGCTTCAAGTCTAAGGACCAATTATACCAATCTAAGTATGAGATTTTCATTTAGTAAAACAAATGGGTTCTCATGACAAGTCAAGTTCCATGATATTTTTTCTAATATAAATCACCTAAGCGCTTGCTTTGGTATTATCATGCCAATATGTGCGATATTTTCTATTATTATCATATAATATGAGCATAATGCTCACAAGTCTAACCGAGATATAGTCAATGTCTATTCTTAATAATGCTATGACTTGGGACAATTAATGATATCATTTATGTGCATTAGTGTTTGTCTCACATCGTTCAATCAATCACTAATGCAAATGCATATCATATAGACTTCTATGTAATTCTATTCAATAAATAAATATAAACTATAAGAATTAATAGAAAGATTTGTTTTATTATTAATAAAATAAATAAGGCAATAATATAATAACTTAAACCTATCTAAACATGGTTGGATCCTAGGCACCTACACTAACAGGGTTCTATTTGAATGGGTTGAGTTTGAGGTACTTCTAGGTCGGGCTTATTAGGAGTTAGTTTTGGTGGAATATGATGAATAAGTACACTCATCCAAGGCCATTTGAATTAGAAATAGGTATAGCTGAAGATTTTTTTTTTTTATGAAATATCTATTATGGAAAATAAGATTTATAAACTTATAGTGTCTAGATATGTATAAACTATTTGTTTTGAGGTTGAGACATATATACCAATAATGACTTCAATTATAGACTAAGAACAAACACTAATTACAACAAAAATCTACTTTCAATTTCATGGGGATGTAAAAAAGGAAAAAAAGGTATCCAAACATCTCAAGAAAATTGTAATCGAGCTTTTGGTAAAAACAAAAAAGTCATTTTCAATAGAGATTTATTTGCTAAAATAAAAATTTACGCATGATTTATTAAATACATAACGAGTTTCAAGAACAAAATGGAAAAAACAATATGGAAGATTGGCCCATTATATCTATGTCTTCTTTCAATAATGACATTTTGTTTATGTGCGTAAAGACACATAATCCAATAAATTTTTTCAATTTTTGAAATTAAGAATTTAGATTTTGAAATTCACTTTCCCAATCGGATTGAAATATTTTAATTTTCCTATCAAACTATTTTTCACAAGTTTTTGAATTTGAATATATATAAAATAACGGAGATGTTCCATTAACCTCACTAAACACAAGGTTCAAAAAAATAGAATTGATCCTCTCGTACTTACTTAAAATCATTCTAGATGACTTCCTTAATGGACGTTAACAATATTCAAATTATTTATTTATTTATTTATTTTACAAACATGATGAAGCCTTATTAGAAAGAACTTGTCTTAAAACTCGAAGATGTGGGTGTCCCAATTTAGTTATAGTTCCAAACTTCAAAAGTGTTGTAGGAACTCAACATAGCTTTATGATTAATTGTTTGACCGGGATAGGTTACCCTATAAAATCCATCTCTAATTACCTTTTTGCCTTGGTTTTCTTGCCTCTAACCCAACAAGAGGTATCATGAAATTGAAAAAAGTCAACATTATTGATTGCAAATAGATTAATCACATGAAACTTCTTTTTACTCTTCTTATTTTCTTATAATAGTCCTCGTATTTTTTTCATCACCTCCCAATACTTTTGTGAAGTTGAGAAAGAAAATTGGGGAAAAAAATGAAAATACAAGCTCGGTATCCCAAGTTGTTTTGCTAGGAATTTCGAGGATAAAATTCTTTATAAGGAAGGGAGGGTGTAATACCCCGAACTCGTTACTAAATAAATTGAAAATATATTAAAGGTGTGAGAAAAATATTTTTTGGCATGAAATAATTGTAAAGAGCTTGATAGAATATTTGGTGCACTTAGGATAAGTTTTTGATGCCGAGTTAACATTTTATCGAGTTTCGAGTGCATGAGTATTGACTTTTTATGCAAAACAATTGTTTTTAGCATTCTAATTGTGCATAAAAAATATTTTTTTTTTGCATAGAATATTTGCTGGAATAGTGCTAGATTATTCGATGCCATTGGATCAATTTTTTAATGTTCAATGATTATTTTATTTGAATTTTACAATTCTAAATAGTATTTTCTATGAAAATTAATTATTTTAAGTGCTTTAAAAGCGTATGAAAAATATCCAATGAACATATAAAAATCATTTGGGATGTGTAGGGATATTCCATGAACTTAAATGAATTTTTCTATACACAGGGAATATTTTATATGAAAATAAGTGTATTTCGAACAAAATAATTAATTAAAGAGCTTAAATAGGTATATAAAATTTATATGAATGATGAATAAATTCTTATATGATATTTTTCAATTTATATTAGAAGAAATTAATTTTTAGAAAGATGTGAAATAAATTTTATAGATAATGACCTAATTGCATAAAATTAGGGACTCAATTGCATAAAATTAAAAGTTTAAAATTTCAAATTAAATTATAAATGAACGTTAGGAATTAAAAAGGTGTTAGAAAACCTTTAAATGAAGGGCCTAAAGCAATCAATTGGATAAATGGAGGGCTTGAGGCAGACTAATTGTAGGAAAATTATAGAAATTAAGGGACTAAATTAGAGTAACTTTTTGGAGAGATTTTCCCCCTCTTTTGCTAACTTAGTGCATTAATTAAGGCTAACTTTCAGTTCAATGGATGGTTAGGATTAAGTTAAATGAAGGGTTGAAATTAAAAGAAAAACAAAAGGCTAGAATTAAAAGTAAGATTGAGGGCCAATATTAAACCAAATGAAGGGTGGAAATTAAGTTAAAAGTCCACCCAAGCTAACCTATAAATATGGCTGAAAAATGATTCATAAAATTGTTAAAGAAATTTGAAGACACAAGGTAAACCCTTGCAAATGTTTCATAAATTTTAACCCAAATTCTCTCCTAAACACTTTCAAACACCTTAAAGTGTCCAATTAAGCCCCGAATTTTAGTTAGAACATAAAGAATCATAAAGAGGAAAAATTCCACACTTGTTCGAAACTTTGAGGGAAAGGGGCGAAGAAGAAATTCTCAAGCAATCTAATTTTTCAAGGTTTAATTGGAGTTATTTAGGTAAGCTAATCACAACTAATCCACAAGAAAGTGTTTATTGATTTCAATTGTTGTTTTGAAAGCTTTAATTTGTATTTAATTGCTTTATTTTTGAAAATTAGAGTTAGGGTTCTTGGTGAGAAAAAATTGAGGAACGTGATTTTGACTTGAAAATTAATGAAATTGAAGTTAGAATATGTCAATAAAGCATGAAAATAAGTGTTAGAAATAAAAAATTCTTATATCAATTTATTTAAGGTTATTCACCCAAAATAACAATTTTAGGATTTTTGATTCTTTCATTTTTTTTTTATGAACTCTTGCTTAATTTTGTGTTATATAGGTATGAATTAATGATTGAGCATGAAAAATTACATAAAAATTGAAACTTTAACCTAGTTTCTCTAGGCCCACATTCGAACCAATTTGGAAGAAAATTAGGGTTTGAATAAATTAGGTTATTAATGGTTTAATTTTTTAATTTAAAGTTAGAATAAGATAAAAAGAAGGACTAGAATGAGAAATTGTAATGAAATTGAAAAATTAACCTAGATAACCTTAATTAGGATTTTGGCCCATTAGGCCCAATTTCGGTTTTTACATACAATTAGATTATAAATGCTTAATTGATTAAAATTTTGATATTAACATGTAATTGAATGAATTAGCATGAAGAATTAACATGCGGATTAGGAAAATTTTCCCTAGCCTAATTAAATGAAACATTCCACCTTATTGAAAGAAATTGGTGTTTATGGCTTATTTTGTGTAACTTGACTTCAATATGATGTATGTGTTGCCATTGAATATGAATATGTGATTTTATGTTGTAAATTGGATGGTATGATGCTCATTGCCTTGTGCTGAACCTTGTTACCATTGTGAGATTATGCAATACTTATGTAATGGTGCTATTACATGGAATGGTTTGGATTAATTGAAATAAAAATGAAAGGTATGTATGTTATGATGCAATTATAATATTGATTTATGCATTTCACATAGCATTCATGGCATGTATTTTATGGATTCATGATTGTTATGCATTTATATTAAAATTCATATACATGCCAAGTCATGAAAAGGATTTTTATAGAAAGATTTTAAGTCACGAAAATGGATTTTTCCTTTAAGGATTTTCCAATAGCAATTGAAAATATTTCATGATTATGAGATTTTCATGACTTGCATGGTTTTCTCGAGGAAGACTTCATGGGTTTTCCACATCTTTCATGGTTCGGTGGTCGAGTGAGTGTAAACGTGCACTTTTAGAGACTTGACAAGATATGTCCGCAAATGGGTCTCGGTTCTTTAGACATATTATGGAAACCCTAAAGTTTCTATAATGGGACGAGTTCAAAGAAAAGAAAAATGATTTTCGGGATGTTCATGATAAGGAATTTATGATATGAAAAAGGGTTTTATAATGAGCATATAAATGATTTTCATATGCATTTCATCTATATGTATATCATGCATAAGTTAACTTACTAAGCTATCACTCACCTAGTTTTTTATGGTGCGCGCACTAATGGTAAGAATGGACATGTGAAGTGATTACCAAGGGATCCATATGCCATGTGTATTTTAGATGTGGCTTTGGCGATAAAATGGACCTCCTTCATGCGATCATTTTGCTAATGCTTGGTATTATGGTTTATGTTCTAGGTATGGCAAGTTTCTTTTATGTACTAGTTAAAGCTATAAAATAGTAAATGGATGGTTGAAAATATAATGTAAATAGGTAAATAAGCCATTTTTTATAGTCTATGGCATAAATTTGGTTTGTATGTAAATAGGTGTAGTTGTATGTAATCGAAACATGAAACAAATCGATACTAGTAAAATGACCTAGTTATGGTTAGCATTAGTTTCCTTTTAGTTAGCTCTTTGCATGTCAATGCCAATAACAAAAATGTGATCACTAAATCACTAAGAATAATAATAATAATAAATGGAAATTAAGGTGTATAAAGGAAATCAAGTATAGAATAACGAGTGAATAATAAATAAATTCCTATAGACTAACAAAAAAGGGATTTGGGAAATTCAAGCATTATAAATCCATTCAGTCTAAATAAACTAAATAAAATAATAAAACATGAAAAATTTATAATACATTTTGCACTAAAATATAAGACATATTTGTCTCTTATAGGTTTCTACAACGTAGCCTATACCTAATAATGTCGTAAGAAAGACACGAGTGTCTTGTTGGCTTGCATTCATTATATTTTGAAGGTTCTAGGTTAGGGATGTTATAAAAGGTCACCTTCTTGACCTTAGGGATAGTTACCAACATTAACAAGTTGACAAGGAAAGGTTACCTTCTTGACATAAGGGGTGGTCATCTGCATTAACCAATTACCAAAGAAAGGTCACCTTCTTGATCTCGAGAATAGTTATCCGCATTAACCAATTGCCAAAGGAAGGTCACCTTCTTGATCTTGGGGATGGTTATTTGTATTAATATGTGTTTTGATGAAGGTCATTCATAAATGATCAATGATTTAAGGACGACCGACCATCATTTAATCTTATCGATTTATTTATTTATTTATTTATGTTCTATTTGATTTTCATTCTTCTATGATTTTCTTCATAAGTCTACTATGCAAAGCTAAAGAAAAGTTAATTTTTCAATGACTTCATGTCGTAAGCAATATAAAGAGCGAGCAATTGTTAGCACCTAAATTTCTCTTCAAAATAACAAAAATACAAAATAACAAATAAAGGAGAAAAGAAAAGGGACTAAAAAAGTACAACTAAAGGATGTAATTGAAAGAAAAGAAAAGAAAAGAACAAAAATAAAAAAAAAATTTCAAGATCGGGAACCAAACTAGACTTTTTCTAAAAAACCTTAAAAACTCCGTATAAGTACTCCCATTTTCTTCAAAACCCTAAGTCACTTTCTCTCTCTAGAATTCTTGCCACACAAACTCTCTTTTCCTAAGAAAATTGGATTCCAACCGAGCCCTTTCATCCTTTCTAATAGCTAATCCTACGATGTGACGACCCCTCCATCGATGTTCGGCTCGATTTCCACTATTAATACCCTCTTCCAATAGCCAATCTCCACTATTAGCAGCCTCGGATCTTTTCCTTTACCAAACCAACACCGGCTAATGAATCCAGCACCACCCATGCTGATCTAGTAGCCTTGGATCTCTTCCTCCACCCTAACCAACACCGATCATTAATTTCAATGCCATCTAACACCGATCCAATAGCGTCGGATCTCATCCTCCATTCAATCTATAGTATTGGTTAGTAGTTCTAACATCATCCAATTCTATCCGAGTAGTAGCAGCAAGTCGATCCAACAACATTTGTGGTAACAACTACTTAGTCCAGCAAAAATTCTAATCGACGATCCGATCTAGCCTTTTAGTAGCCTCGATCCAATCACCAATAATCATCTTGCCTCACTTCGGATCCAAATCTAACAACGATAAACCGTTCCTCCTCTCTCGCTTGATTGAATATCAATCTCCATCGGGATTGAAAAGATCAAAATTGATCCTAATTCCATGATCAAAATTCATTCAAATTTTTTTATAATATCTTTTTTATTATTTTAATCCGTATTAAATTTAATTCATATTTATATGCTTGTAAATTAATTAAATTGTTGTTGTGGATGTTTGGTTTGACTATATGGTTGTATAGCTTTAAATGACTAAAGTTGTGATTATATGGTTTAACTGATATGTTTATTATTCTATAAATATTTATTATTGCTCGTGTAACTATCTTATATTGGTTCAAACCTTGTTTTTAGACTATTTTGGCTATGATAACATTAAATCGCTTACATGCTAATTTTATCTAAAAAATATAATTTCGGGTCATGTCAATTCGAATCTTATTATTTGAGCCATTTTTGTCAAATAATGATTCATTTTTACAATGTTGCCAATTTGCATAAAAAAATGTGATATTTGGGTTGTGTTAAGTCCAAATCATTGTTTAGACCATTTTTGTCAATTTCCTATAAAATGTCATCTTGAAAAAAATCATAACTTTTAAGTCATGCTTTGGTTTGAACCGTTCATGCCAACATGCATGCCATGTCAATTTTACTTGTTAAGTTTATTTGCCTTTTTTTTTTTTTTTTTTGAAAAATCACGACACTTGATGTTATATCAATTCGAATCCCAATCGAATCGTTTTTGCCATTCCGCCAAATTTGCCTATTTGGGATTTTAGCTATTTTTGTTTATTTTTCCATTTTTGTCATTTTATATCATATGTAATTATCGCCAAATTTTGTCAATATTGTCCTTTTTTTGTCAACTATGTTATTTTTTGTTATTTTTGCTATTTTCTTATCATTTTTACCATTGTTGTCATTTACGCCTATTTGTCTATTTGCTTATTTTTTGAGCCATATTTTCATGCAAGTCATTTAGGTTGAGTTAATCACAAACCCTTGTATATTCATCATGTCTTTTCATTTCATTTTTTAATTATTCATTACGGAGTGAAGACGAGGCCTCCGATCGGCCTAGTCCCAAATCTTTAGATTGATGGAAAAATATTTGGAAAATAGGTATAGATTTTCATGATAAAAAAAATTCAGAAATCAAATCACGTTTGTATGCGATGTAACTCGCCTTAGGTAGGATAGGGTAAGATAATTTTTTATCTTTCCTACACATAATAAACCTTTTGCCTAGAGCTCTAAATGGACTAGTGGCATGGTTTTCTAGTAAGCATAATTCTAGGTGGTGTCTTTATTTATTTTATGCCTATTTTCTTATTTTCCCAAAACTCATAGCTCTGCAACAATTTTCTTTTTATTTTATGTTCTTGATTTATTTTTTAACGACTACTAATAGAGCTCTCGGTTTACAAGACAAGGAGGAACAATGGTAGAAGAATAAAAAGTCGGGATTGATAAGTTTGATGATAAAAACTTTGAGTTACGAAAGATGCTTATTGAAGATTATATATAATAGAAGAAGTTACACGGATCCTTATTAGAGAAAAAGTTAAAAGGGATAAAAGATGCTAATGGGATTCTATTAGATCGCCAAGCACTCGGTTATTTGGATGACATTGATGCGAAATGTTGTGTTCAACATAGTGAAAGAAAAGATTGAAATATATCTAACGGTGATATTATCAAATATGTATGACAAGTCATATGATTTGAATAAGGTATTTAAGATGCTTTGATTATTCAACCTGAAAATGGTGGAGGGTGTATCGATAACCAATTACATTAATGAATTTAATATGTTGATCACTTAATTAGAGTTGATAAAAATTATATTTGATGATAAACTTCAAGCATTGGTTCTACTATCTTTTTTACCATAGAGCTGATTTGGAATGGTAACAATAGTGAGCAATTCATCAAGAAATGACAAACTAAATTCCAATGATGTCCAAGATTTAATTATCAGTGAAGATCTTTACAGATGTGAATCTAGGTAACCTTCGATTCTATTTTGAGTATCGATGGTAGAGGAAAGGACATTCAATAAGGTCAAAATCACAATCATGATAGATCAAAATTAAAAGATACGGGGAAATTATGATTCTAGGTAACCTTCGGGTTTTGCTTTAAGTATCGATGGTAGAGGAAGGGACATTCAATAAGGTCAAAATCATAGTCATGACATATCAAAATTAAGAGATAGAGGAAAATTAAAAAAAAATTATAAAAAATTCATCTATTGAAATTGCAATAAAATAGGCATTTTAAACATTAGTGTAAGGCTATAAAAAAGAAGAAGAATTAGGATGGTGACTCTACTTACGCCATAACTTATGATATTACATATGCATTAATTTTTAGTGTGGACATTCTTATTGAATGTTGGATTTTAGACTCAAATGCATCTTTTAATTCTACACTATATAAAGATTTTATACAAAAATATATTATAAAAATTTTTAGAAAGGTTTATCTTATAGACGATGAATCTCTAGACTTTGTAAAAAAAACATGAGATTATTATTAGAAGTGCTAGTAAAATACAATAAAAACTATAAAATCTTAGACACATTTTAGGTCTTAGAAAGAATTTGATTTTTATGAGCAAACTCAATGATATTAGTTATACAAGTATTCTAGAGTGGATTATGGAAGATAACAATGAGGAATATGGTTGTAGAATGAGGCAAAAAATTTAGGAATTTGTACATGACTATTATAACAAGGGATGTAACGAGTAATGGTCAATTTTGATGATGATGGTGATTCGATTTGATACGATGGCACTAAAAGCTTAGACACATGAGTGAAAAGGATTTAAGGTACTTAGCATAAAAAAAAATTTATCAAAACTAAAACACATTAATGTTGGCTTATGTGAGCCCTACATTTATGAAATTTAGAAGAGAGTTCATTTCTTAAAGTTTGGTAGATCTTTTTTTAAACAAATCTCAAATTAGTGCATACAAATGTATGGAGACAAGTCCATGTGATTTTCTTAGAGGCTCATGCCACTATACCACTTTCATTGACAATTCCACTAGAAAAGCATGGACTTATTCTTTGAAAGGTAAATCTAATGTGTTAGTTATGTTTAAAATATAGAAGGTTAAAATTGGAAATTAGACTTGTTTAAAGGTTAAATCCTTGAATTCGGACAATAGAGAAGAGTATATTAGCATTGAATTTAAATATTACTCTTTAGATAATAGGATCAAAATAATCTAGATAGTTTTTATAGCATCGAGCATAATGGTGTTTTTGAAAGGATGAACAAAATTTTGAATGAGTGAGCAAGTAGCATGAGATTGCTTCTAGTTTGCCTAAAATATTATGGGCTAATGAAGTGAATACAACATCTTACCTCAACGAGTAAAGGACCTTTAGTTCCATTGGGCTTGAAATTACTTAAGGAGGCATGGTTAGGAAAAGAGATAAATTTACCACACTTGAGAACCTTTGGTTAGGTTTTATATGTATATAGGATCTAATAATAGAGATAAGTTTGATCCTAAGGCTAAAAAGTGTTATTTCATTGGTTATGGTTTTAATGATTTTAGTTATTGGTTTTAAGATGATCAAAATAGGATGATCATAAGGCATAGAGATGTCACTTTTAATGGGAATGTATTATTTAAGGACGAGCTTAAGATAGATTCTAATCGTGTAGCAAACTAGTCAAAAGCAAGTGAGAAAGCTGAATTGGAAGAGATCTTGAAGACTAATATATCTAAAATTTAGAATTTTGATAATAGAGATAGAGAACTTGAAGTAGAACCATAAATAGTTACTTTTACTTCTCAATTAAGGAAATCTAATAAAGTATCCAAATCCATTCAAAGATATTCACCTTTTTTAAACTATTTGCTTCTTATTGATGTTGGAGAACTAGAATTTTTTACTTAAACAATGCAAGTGAAAGATTTTGTCAAGTGAGATTTAGGCATGGAAAAAGGAATGAGGTCCGTTAAGAAAAATTAGACATGGAATTTAATTGAGCTATCGAAGGGAAAAAGACTAACATAACAAGTGGTGCATATAGTACAAAAAAAAAAAAAAGCATAGTGGTAGTAGAAGAAACAAGGCAAGACTAGTGGTAAAGCCTTTTAAGATTTTCTCTTCGTTGTCAAGATGACTACTTGTTAGATTAGTATTATTGCTAAACAAACATTGTATCTAAAGTAATTAGATGTAAAGCTGCTTTCTTATATGGTGATCTTGAGGAAGACATTTACATGGTATAACCATAAGGCTTTGAAGTCTCAAAGAAGGAGAAACTTATGTGTATGTTGCAAAAAAGTCAATAGGGTTTGAAGCAAGCCCAGAAAATGGTACAAGAATTTTGATGGATTTATGTGTAACAATAGTTTTCAAAGATGTGAGATAGATCACTCATATTTTATCATAAAGTTTGATGATTGTTTTGTTATTTTTTTCTTGTATGCCGATGATATGTGTCACTACCCGACATTTAGAGGACTTATAAAAAATATAAAAATAAAAAAAATTAAGAAAAAGGTTTAGAGTTACACCTATAATTAAAGATAAATAGAAACCTAAGAAGGATTCTAAACTTAGAATTTTTGGATAAGAAGTTGGTTATGTCTTTGGAAAGATAACGATCATCCAAAGGCGAGTCTTTCTCGGAAAAGGTATCATGTTTAGTTTAATCCTAAAAATATCTCCTAAGAAATTATATT